CATCACTGCACAACACTACACAACATCACTACACAACAGAGCGAGACCCCATGTCTTTAAAAAAGAAAAAAAAAAAATGCTGGGAGTGGCAGCTCACACCTATAATCCTTGCACTTTGCGAGGCCGAGGTGGGAGGATCATTTGAGCTCAGGAGTTCAAGACTAGACTGGGCCACATGGGGAGACCCTATCTCTACAAAAAATAAAAAATAAAAAACTAGCTGGGCATGGTGGCTCACACCTGTGGTCCCAGATACTCAGGAGGCTGAGTTGGGAGAATCATTTGCGCCCAGGAGGTGGACACTACAGTGAGCCATGACAGCACCACTGTACTCCAGGCTGGGCAACAGAGTAAGACCTTGTCTCAAATGAATAAAAAAATAAAAGAATATAAGGGGAAATGTGATTAAGCACTGTGGTAGAATGGGTCCCAAAAGGTGTTCAAATTCTCATCCCCAAAACCTGTGAATAGTTTACAAGGCAAAAGGTGTTGAAGACATGGTTTGCTAGCCTATTTAACAAAATGAAGAAAATAACTTTTAAAAATCCTGTGATTAAATTAAGGATATTTAATCAGTTGTGATTAAAGATCTTGCAGTAGGGGGTTATTGTAAATTTTCAAGACGGGTCTAAAGTAATCATGTTTGTTTGTGAGGGGGAGACAGGAGGTCAGAGTCAGAAAGATTTGAAGATGTTACGCCGTTGGATTTGGAGAAGAGGAGGGGACCACGGGCCTAGGAATGCAGGTGGCCTCTAAAAGCTGGTAAAGTCAAGGAAAGAAATTCTTCCTAGAGCCTCTAGAAAGAACATAGCCCTGTTGACACCTTGGTTTTAGCCCAGAGACATCAATTTGGACTTTTGACCACCAGAAGTAAGAACTGTAAGATTACAAAATCAATATGGTTTTAAGTAGCTCAATTTGGGGAATTAATTACAGTAACAATAGCAAACTTATACAAACATTAAGAATTTATTCATTAATCTGTGAATATTTATTTATTTATTTTTGAGTCTCACTCTGTCACCCAGGCTGGAGTCGAGTGGCACGATCTCAGCTCACTGCAACCTCCACCTCCTGGGATCAAGCGATTCTCCTGCCTCTGCCTCCTGAGTAGCTGGGACTACAGGCACACGCCAACATGTCCGGCTAATTTTTGTATTTTTAGTAGCGAAAGAACTTCATGTTGGCCAGGCTGGTCTTGAACTCTTGACCTCTAGTAATCCACCCGCCTCAGCCTCCCAAAGTGCTGGGACAGCAGGTGTGCACCACCACGCCCAGCTAAGTAGCTGGGGTTACAGGCACAAGCCACTATGCCGAGCTAATTTTTTTGTATTTTTAGTGGCAATGGGGTTTTGCCATGTTGGCCAGGCTGGTCTCGAACTCCTGACCTCAGGTGATCCGCCCACCTTGGCCTCCCAAAGCGCTGGGATTACAGGCATGAGCCACTGTGCCCAGTCCATCTATGAATATTTACAGAGTTTGTTCTATATGCTGGCAACATTGGTGAAAAAAAGAGTCTAAGATGCCTGCTCTCAAAGAGTTTATTTCTTTAAGGATATATTTTCAGAGAGATATTGCAGTGAAAGAGAACAGACACAGAGAACATAAACACGAGGGGTCTATAATGGCCGGCTCCCTGGCCTCTAACCGCCACAGCAGAGTCACCTAACTCCCAACCAAGGCCTCAAGACCAACCTGGCCCCAAATGGCAGCAATGGAAAGAACCCGAGTCAAGTGGGCAGCGTGAGGCTCAGCACTCAGCCCTCCTTCCAGCTGGCCCCACTCTCATCTTGTGTTCCAGCGAACAACTGGGTCAACACAGCCCGTTCCTCTGGGGTTCTAAGCAGACCACATGAGTCCTCCTGGGGATTAAGAGTTTTACGCGGTCCTGCAACTCTATGCTGAGGCTGGGCTGCCTTGATACTAATCATTGCCCATCAGCCTGCAGCTCCACGCGTTGTCCACTGGGAGGTTCCTCTCTTGTCAAAGCCTGGACGTCCAACTGTCCTCTCCACTCCTCCCTAACAAGAGGACGTGCCCACTGAACTACCAACTGTAGTCAACCACCTGTCTCTGGATACTGCCTGCCTGCTCCTCCCTGGTTCTTGAGTGTGCCCCTGGCCTGCCTCCTCAGTGGTCTCTGGGTCCTAGCCTGACCAGACTTTGTCCTGATCAGGCTTTCCATCTATTCTCCATGCAAAGCCAGTAAGTCAATGCCACTGAGTACGGGATTTCTTTTCGGGATACAGCAAATATTCTCAAATTGATTGTGACAGTTCAAAGGAAGCTGTGCCAAAGATCTGGAAGGCTCAGTGGGAGAACCGGCAACAGGTGGCACCAGGTCTGGGAGATTCCTAGAAAGCGGAGCGGGTCTCGGAGGGGGTGGATTTGGCCCGAGGCGCCCGCGCGGAGGGGCCGGGCTGCAGCCCCCGGGCAAAGGGAGCGCGAGCTCTGATCCCTCAGCCGGGCCGGGCCGCTCCGAGACACCTCGAAGGACGCCGGGCGCCGTGGGGCAACCCAGGCAGGGCAGGGACCACCGCCTCCCGGGCTCGTGGGGTGCAGCTCTGAACCTGAGACGCTCGGAAGCTCCAGCCCCGGGCCCACCTGCGGCCGCTCCCTGCACCTCACGCCCAGCGGGACTCCAGGGCTCTGCCTCAGGGACTGGCGAGGAAGTGACGGGGAAAGGGGCTCCAGGGGGACAG